TTTTTTTTTTTTTTTTTGAGACAGAGTCTTTCTATGCAGTTTAGGCTGGCCTTGAACTTACTCTGTATCCCAGGCTGGCCTCAAACTCCTGGTGATCCTCCTGCCTCTGCTTCCCATGTGCCACCATGCCCAGCATGGATGATTTTTTATGTGTAACTTCTTTCAAATTAAGATTGAAGAAAGCCTTCAGGTAAGATGGCACACACCTGTAATCCCAGCACTCGGGAGGCTGAGCCAGGAGGATCACCACGAGTTCGAGACCAGCCTGGGCCACATAGTGAGTTCCAGGGCAGTCTCAACTACATAGTAAGACCCTGTCTCAAAAAACAAAAAACAAACAAACAAAAAAAGATTGAAGAAAGCCAGACATGGTAGTGCATGCCTGTAATTAAACTGGTTATTAATTATTTAAATTAAATGTTAATCATTAAAATGGCAACATGTATCATTTGGGGAGTATAATCTAGGGTTGGAATAGCTGTGTGGTATGGTTAGCTTGATTAGAAATTGCTAGTTCTCCATGTAGGTTTACACTGCCATCCTGTGGGTGTATAACTGTGTCTCATAATGATGAGCATTTTTTTGTGTGCATATTGAGCACTTTATTATTCTGTTTTTAAGGGTTCATTCAAGTCATTAGCCTATTTTCTTTGGGGGTGGAGGTGGAGACAGGGTCTCAATGTGTGGTGAAACTGGTCTTGAGCTCACTGCGCAGCTCACACTGGCTTCGAACTTTCAGGATCCTCCTGCCTCAGCCCCCTGAGTGCTGGGAATACAGGGATGTACCACCACACCCAGCAGCCCATTATTAAATTGGCCTATTAATGCAGTATTTTTTTCTTACTGATTCATAGTAGTACTTTCTTCTATTGTGTGTGTGTGTGTGTGTGTGTGTGTGTGTGTGTGTGTGTGTGTGTTTATTTATTGGTACCAGGGATTGAACTCTGGACCTTGCGCTTGCAAGGCAATTGGCAGCACCACTGAGCTAATCCCCAGCCCCTGGTGTACTTTCTTCTAAACATGAGTCCTTTGTCCTGTACATTTGTCCCACAGTATCTTAGGAATTGGATCTAGGGACACTCCATCCCCCACCTCAGGTTTCCCCCAGGCCACCAAAACCTGCAGATCTCCAAGTCTTTAATATGACATGGCATAGTAGTTACGTATAACCTAGGCACATCTTCCTCTACACTCTGCCACCTCTAGGTCACTTGTAATGCCTAATATGGTGTAAATGCTGTAGACGTTGTTATACTCTACTGTTTAGAGAATATGACAAGCAAAAGTCCATACATGTAGAATATGGATATGTATAAACATTGTAAGTCTAACTACATGGTACAGAAAGGTGACATGGAGTAGGTGATGCTTGAGCAAGTGCTGGCAGAAGGCTACAGCAGGGCATGCTACCCAGCATCTCATGTGGATTTAGTGTACTGTTTGCTCCTGCACAAATTTAAGTTGTATATTTTGAAATTGTCTATAGATTTCTTTTTTAATATGTTAAATTTGCTATCAGAACCAAAGGATTATGAAGAGCTGACTGTATAGGTATTGTGAATATTTTCTATTTATAGCTTACCTTTTCATTTCTTAATATTATAAAGTAAGGGTATTATACTTTATTATGTATAATAAACATTTTTCTTCTGGCCTGCATTTGCTGTATACCAGTAGGTGTTATCATACACTGTTCTTTTTATTTGAATGTCATCAAATGTGTCAGTCATTGCCTTTGCAGTTTAAAGTTCCATTTTGTGTTTAGAAAGCCTTTGCCACTGAGTTTATAACAGGTACTCCAGGCTTATTTTTGTTTTTTGTCTGTTGTTTTTTTTTTTTTTTTTTTTTTTTTTTTTTTTTTTTTTTTTTTTTTTGAGCCTTCACGCTGAGCTGTATGCCCAGTGCAGTTTTTTTGTTTTGAGGCAGGATCTCACTAAATTGCTAAGTTGTCCTGGCTGGGCTCAAACTTGCTGTTCCCCTGACTCAGCCTCCAGATGTGCTGGGCTTACAGGTATCTGTCCCCATGTTCAGCTCCTAGTAGTTTTTAATTAATGATCTATATACGCAACCTATTTTGAGTGAACATATAGTCATTCACTTGTTCCAATATCATATTCCCTCAATTTTTTATTTATTTATTTATTTTATTTTTTTTGGTACCGGGGATCGAACTTGGGTCCTTGCGCTTGCGAGGCAGACGGCAGAACTACTGAGCTAAACACCTGTCCCCATATTCCCTCAGTTTAAACACTACCTTTATTACATGGTAAATTTCTTTTGTAGTAGAGCTTTTCTCTGGACTGTTAAGACCTGGTATCGTGTGTGTGTGTGTGTGTCTTCATTTAATGAGGAATTATTTGTTTAAAACATTTATGGTTTACTCTTTATTTTCTTCCCTCCTCTTCCATTCTCTTAACAAGTTTTTGTGTAGTAATTTTAGATGTTTTTGCTCAATAAATGGGGCCATCCACTCATATATATATATATATATATATATATATATATATATACACACACACACACACACACACACATACACATATACATACATACACACATTTGTTCAAGCTGATTTCAAACTTGCAAGCATTCTGTCTTAACCTTCAGAGCACTGGAATTACAGGCATACACTGCTCTAGCTAGCTAATCATTTTTTTGATTGTGCCTTCTCGAGTCAGTTTTCTCCTTCCAAGAATTTTCTATTAATCTTTTTTTCTGTTCTTGTTAGAAATTCATCCCCCAAATACCTTGCTCATCAGATTTTTTCTAAAACTACTGTGTGCCTTTTTAATAAAGCCACTATAAAATATTCTGTTGAAAATATTACCTCTCTCCTCACCAGATAAAAGACTATTATCTAGAGTATATAAAGAACTCAAAAAAAAAATCATTACCCCTCCCAATTTAAAGACCCAAACCAAAAATGGGCATCTGAAATGAAAAGACATTTCTCATGATGAAGAATTAGAAATGGCAAATAAGTATATGAAAAAATGTACAACATCACTGTATTCATGAAATGCAAATTAAAACTGCTGAGAGATTTCATCTCACTCCAGAAAGAGTAGCTGCTTTCAAGAAATCAACTGATAACAAATGTTGGCAGGGCCGTAGGGCAAAGGAACCCAGTGGGAGTGTAGACTGGTGCAACCGCTATGGAAATCAGTGTGGAGAGTCCTGAAACACTGAAACTAAAGGTTCCATTTAACCCAGCTTTTCTCTCTTCTTCATATCTTCCTAAAATAATTAAAAGCGTCATAGCACAGTGATACAAGCACACCCATGTTTATAGCAGCATGGTTTGTAATATCTAATTCTTGGAAACAGCCCAAATACTATCAATTGACGAGTGGATAAAGATTTTTCTTGTCATTCCTCTGTTTCTTTTAAATTCTCTAACTTCTTAACAATTGTCCTTACTGTTGTCTTTGAATCCTTAATTACACTTATAGACAGTTACAGTTAGCCTCTTTATTGCTTGCTATAGTTTTTTTTTTTTCTTGTTTGCTTCTGTGGTATTTTCTTACAAGATTACATTTTTATTTTTTTATGGACTCATCTGTCTGCATATCTTTTGCCTCTTTTCACCTTTTCAGTTTTCCAAAAATGAGGGACTTCCTAAAGTAGTAATGTCAAATTCTCAGAATAGTTTATGAAAAATAATAGTGGTAAGAATTTTGAGTTGAGTGCAAGTGTTCTGGAACATAGTTTTGGAATTTGTTTTATATTACATAGTATTTTATAACTTGACTATAAGGAGCTAATCTGAACTTTGGATGTATAACTACAAAAATATTAGTGATAGTTTTGTTTGTAGTTTTGAAAATTGGCAAGTATCTATATTTGGGCAGGGTTAAGTGTCTTGGGATGGAATATGTTGTGTTGCTGTTATAATTTTTACAAAAAGTGTTTTTAACGGTTGTGTTAAGTGAAATAAACTCACTCCCTAAGTTACAATATTGCATGTTTTTTAATATGAGCAGTCTAAAAAATAAAAAATAAATGAGAGGTAACAGGAAACTAAAAGGTAGTAGACATGTAGAGATGTGGAAATAAATAAGTGGGGAATAATGGGGATGAAAAATAATCAAAATGTGTTATGTACATGTACCAATATGCCAAAAATAGTCTGATTTTATATTAATGTGTACTAATAAAAAGTTTTTTTTTTTAAAGGAGTTTTTAAATGATGTGAAAGGTACAGATTCCAAAGGAATAAAGTCATGATTAAATTGTATAATAGCTTGATTTTCATTTATTAAATTTAAATATGTATGGTTGGGTATATATGTGGAATGTCAATAACATAAGTAAATAACTGGAAAGGAATATTCCTAAATATGTAAGAGTGACCTGCTTTATGAGATTATGTGTTATCTGTGATTTCCTTCATGCCTCTAAGAGAATGCATTACTGTAATTGCAGCAGTTGGGAGGCGTAAGCAGAAGGATGGAGAGTTTGAGGCCTGCCTGGGCTATGTAGCAAGTTTGAGGCTGGCTTTGTTTCAGGAGAGCTCTGGGCTACTAGTACACACACACACACACACCCCCAGTAAAATTACCTTTATTGGCCTTGCTTTCTACATCATAAGATCCATTACTTAAAATAGTGAGCCTTTTTTGAAAGAGGTGACTTTGACAGCTATTAAGAAAAAACTGGTTCTTTTTTTCAGATCTTTCTATACTTACATTTAGGACTTTTACTTTGATACCTATTATTCTGGAACAGGCACAGGCTCAGTATCAACAACAGCATGAACAACAGAAAAAAGATTTAGAAACCCTCCATCAGCGAAACATCCACCAGCTACAAAACAGATTGTCTGAATTGGAAGCAGCTAATAAAGATCTAACTGAGAGGAAATATAAAGGAGACTCCACTACTAGAGAACTTAAAGCTAAACTTTCTGGTGTTGAAGAGGTACTGTGTGCTGGCTTCTCATCCTAATGTAAAAGTGTTTTAATTTGTTCACTTTATTTTAGTTTGTTTGTTTTATTTTTGTGGGTAGTGTTCTTCTGGATTCTTTGCAGGGATCTCTTAATGATATTAATGATAATTTCAAACAATGCAAAAGTGTTCAGAATCTGAAATTTGATAAAAAGAGATAATTCAGAACAGAACTGAAGTAAACCTTGATAGTTTTAGTTGGGATCTTGAGGACTAATTTCCTGGCACAGAGCTTAGAATTTTCAGTGTATATTTTCATGTTGTTTAATGTCTTTATCTCATAAGGGAGGGTACTCATTGTTTACAGAATTAGTCCTTTCTTTAAGCCTGTATACTATATCAAGCAACTGAAGTTTAGCATCTAGTAGTAGTGGTAGTGAAAAGGGTAAAGATAATAGCTACATTTACTGAGCATTAGCTTCATGATAGACACTATTTTAGTACTCCACAGAGATTAACTTAATTAATTCTTATAACAATTTTTTATGTGTGTATTGTTATTCTCATTTCACACATGCTGAAACTAAGGCACAGAGGGTTAAGTTATTTGCCTCCTGTCACATGGTCAATAAGTGAAAGAATAAAGATTGGAATCCACCTAGTTTTTGCCTGTCTTTGGTACTTCCTTATTCTTCCAAGGACCAGAAAGGTGCTTGTTTTTTCAAATGCTGGGAATTAAACCCAGGGCCTTGTGCATGCTTAGATAAGCACTGTACCACTGAGCCACACTCCCCAGCCCATCACATTTAAGAATCTTGCTGCTATGGCATATTTGTTGATGCTTTGGCACATTATTAGCACATGAATTATCAGAAAATATATGTAGTGTTTTGTTTGTCAATGTGTTTTTCTGAGACAGGGTCTTGCTATGTTGCCCAGACAGGCCTCAAACTCCTAAACTCAAGCAATCTTCTTGCTTTACCCTTCTAAGTAGGTGGGACTACAGACATGGGCCACAGTGCCTGACTTATAATTAAAGGCTTATGGGTTTGGTTTTGTTTGTTTTTGGTAACAGGGATCCAACTCAGAATGTGCACTTACAAGGCAGGCGCAGTGCCACTGAGGTAAATCCTCAGCCCAAAGTCTTACCATATTTAAAAGCAAAGATCACCAAGCTACTTTCAGTGGCACACACATAATTCTAGCTACTTAGGGAAATCCTATCTCAACGACATTTTTAGAAATGGAGTGGGGCTATGGGTCCGTTGTATAGTACTTGTCTATCATTCATGAGTCCTTTGGGTTCAATCCCCAGTACCTCAAAACTGAAAAAATGAAAAAGATTACCAGCCTTCCATTTCACCAGTCAGTTATGCTTAGAAACTCCCAGTCTAAAGCTTAACCTGTTTTATGTTCATATCCTCAAAGAATTCTGCCTTTAAAAAAGGTATCTATAGTTTTTATTCCTTATAACCTTTATTTTTCACAGCAGTTAGTAAAATGTTTCAGCCTTTTTAAAATGGCACATTGGTAGTTTTAATTACTTAATTGTAATACTGTTTGATTGCTTCAGTCTTAATCCTGAAACTATCTACTTTGTTAACAATCTTCTGTTATATCATTTTTTAAATAATCTAATCAAAAGCATTTGCAAATTATGTGTTTTGGGGAATTTTTTTTACCTCTGAGGACTTACCTAATTATGTAAAATTACACTTTTTAGGTATATTTTGATGCCCTAAAAATAATCAGTATCAGTAATTATTATATTTCAGTACATATGCTAGACAGTTCTGTTTTAAAAATGAGGCAGCTAAGACTTACTGAGGTGAAGTGATTCCAAAGATGACACTACAGCTGAGACCTGATTTGAATTCAAGTCTGTCTGATACCAAAGCCTATGCTCCTAAAACTATTATAGTACTATAATATTATAAACTGTCTTTTAAAATTATTGTTAAAAACCAACTCCATAAAAATACTGTATCCTGGACTTTTGTGTACTACTGACATTTCATTTGGTATTAGCTGATTGAGATGTGATCCATTTCAGGGTTTTTTTTTTTTTTTTTTT